CGGACAGAAAGTACAGTTCCGGGCCGTTGTTGTCAACCCATCGCTGATTTCTAAAGACAATGTTCCCATTGATATACATATTAACGTATTTATAATTTTGAGTTTGAAAATGAGTTTAATTTCGTAAAAATATATGCATTGATAGGACGGTAACGGAAAGCGTGTCATTGAATGGACAAAATTGTACGCAAAAAACGGTGTCATCGCTGAAGAGCTGCAACTGTCGGCACAGCCAGTGTTGGGCCACTGGACTATAGGTGTGACGGCGTTGAGACACAACACCACTAAGACATTCACTGTCGTCGACGATATGTTTCCCACGTTTGACGTGGAGGTAGTGTTGCCAACATATGTGACCAGAAATCGGTCAGAAGTGGTGGCACTCATTAAGGCATTTGACACCAATGGGAAGGCTATTAAGGGAGACCTCATTCTTATTGTTCGAACCGACCATTTTTATATACCGAGTATAGATTTATTATAAATAATAGATACTTAATTATAATCAATACAATTCATTATAATTGTGTCTGACATTAGGTAAATATCGGACAAAAACTGCGATCGATGGAAGCGCCACATTGGCTATCAATTTAGCGGACGATTTACTAATCGATCACCGCTTAGACAACGATAACCTCGAGCTTAAAGTGACGGCAGTAGTGAGGGATAAGTTGACCGGAAAGCAGTGCAACCGAACCAATACAGTGAAGGTAACCGAAACGGATTTTAAGTTTCAAGTGATAACGCCGTCGAACGCATACAAACCGGGATTGAAAAACACGTTTGTCGGCAAAGTTTGCACACAAGACGGCAAACCAGTGGCCGATAGCGGACTGCAACTCAAACTCAAATACGGCTATTCATCGAATGAGAGTGAATGGAGAGACAGTCCGTTACTGTTGTCGCCAACCAATGGACTCATTAAGTTTGATGTGTTTCCGCCCAGAGATATATACGAATTGGTAGTTAAAGCCGAATATATGGGAAACACGTATTATATACCTAGTTCGCGGGCTACGACCCGGTCCGGGCACTACATGCAAGTGATCCGTTTGGACACAACCGACATCACTGTCGGACAGGACGTAAAATTCGTGGTGAATGCGACCGAACCTATCGTACGATTGGTGTGCGAAGTGATGGGAAAGGGAGACATAGCGTGGGCTAAAAGTTTTGACACCAATAATAATACCGGTTATGAGTTCAGTGTCGCGACTGTGCCTCAAATGGCGCCGTCGGCTCGGGTTCTGTGCCATTACGTGCGGCCCGACAACCGGGAAGTGGTGGCCGACGATCTCGGCTTCGATGTGATTCCACCACTGATTGGGACGCCCTTTGCAGTCAACGCCGACACCCGTCCGACCAAACCGGGAGAGATGTGCGCCACTGAAGCCAACACTCGTCACAACCCGTTTGTCGACATCAGTGGCGCTGATATAATGAACGAACTGAAGACATACGTCGAGAAACCCTATTCTCATCTTCACTGGCGTTCGTCGGCAACCGATTACGTGTTTAAGGATTCGGCTGTCGATGTGATGCACAACGGATTTATTAAAACATAATTGCAATTATTATTATACATAATTAAAATTAATGTCAAACAAATTGGCTTGTTAATTCTTACTGTTTTTATTATATTTTTATGTTATTGTTTATTTTATATCACAACGCATGTTTAAGGTTATATTTATTGGCGGAGCTTAACACCGTCCATGGCTCGCACTGTATAATTAGTATCATGATCATTAAATGTCAAATATAAACCATAAATGTTCATCAACAATGTAGCCGCTATCATAAACCAATTTGCTTGTTCAATTAAATATCTGGCCATAAAGTTTACCCTGGTCGTATATCGTTTCATATTGATTGAATTTAAGGGGTATCTTAATAATCGGTATTTTAATTGATAGAGAAATTTAAATGAATGCATTTTTTGGCTCAAATCAATTGACTGTAGATTAATACCAGAGAAGAATATGGTAAACGATAGGATCGATATAAAACCGCAGGCCATCATAGGGTTGGCTAAAGTATATGCCGGATCACATACCAGATTATATATCCATTGCTTAAGAATATACAAGATCATATGGTTGAATTGGAAACTTAATTATAATTAAACGAATGTAGTTTTGTTTTATATAAACTTACTTTTCGGATTATAGCCGATAATTCAAATCTAATGCCGTTTATTAGACACATAACGCGGGCTATTGTTGCCAATACTACTCGCCGTGGGCTCCGGTGTGGGCCAGACATGTATTTATCGCAATCCCTGACCACATGTGTTAAGGATAGTCTACTTAACCGCTCAATCCGTGCGATGCTATCACTGATATCAGTGCTGATTATTAAATAAAATTGGTCTAAATTAGTCTTGATATTTGCCAATTGATGTGAATTAGCACTTGGTATTAGTCTAAAATTCATACTGTAATAAATTGTTGGTTATAATATTTTATGCGATGTTAATTGAAATGGTTTGTTAAATAACAAGCTAAAAATTTTATTCGTGCCTATTATAATAGAAATTTAATTATTAATATTTTTAATATTTTAAAAATAGTTAATATTTGTTTAAACTTAAAGAAATATGAAATTAATAATTTACTAAATATATAGGTTTGTATAAATAGAAGTTAAATATGACATCAAATTTGTTATTTATTATGTTTAAGTAAATATCGAATTTAGTTGCTATCATATTGGACTTAAAATAACATATTTATTTTAACTTATGGACTTTTATCAACAAGCCTTTTATTAACAACTCCACGCCCCCATCTGTGAGACAGTACCATGAAATACCAAACATGTATACATTTTTTACCTACTTAATAGATTTAATATTAAAATGATTACATTATTTAGAATAGCAAATTTAATTATTTATTTATCATTTATTATTAATAACATTTACAATTTTGCCATGCTCATACGGAGGTAACTCTACTTGTCGTCTACCATACTGTGCCATCACATAAGTATGAACCCGTTATGCATAACACCGACACCCGAGTCTACAAACGTATCAATGGTATCCGACGACTGGCCGTAACGACAATAATAGGATGACTTGCGGGCAGTCGTGTCGTAGGCCTTCAGTTCGTGGAGCAAATCTTCGAGACTGATGTCGACAAAAGTCTCACGAGTGTCGGCGGCGACGGCTGTGGCGAAGTCGAGAGCGTCGGCCACCACTTCCTGGTTGTCTGGACGCACGTAATGACACAAAAGCCTCGCCGACGGCGCCATTAGAGGCACAGTCGCGACACTGAACTCATAGCCGGCCGTAATATTGGTGTGAATGTCAAAACTCTTAGCCCACGCTATGTCTCCCCTTCCCATCACTTCGCACACCAGTCGTACGATATTCAACATTCCACCTTGATCACGTTCGTCAATTTGTATGAATAAGTTGTGCATCACTCCGACACCCAATTCGTCAAATGTGTCACCGGTTGCCGGCGACCGGCCGTAACGACTATAATAAAACGTCTTAAAGGTAATCGGATCGTAGTTTTTCAGTTCCTTCAACACATCCTCGCGACTAATGACGACAAACGGGTTGTGACGAGTGTTGACCACAACGCCGGCCAACTCTCCCGGTTTGGTCGCACGAGTGTCGGCGTCGACGGCTGTGACGGGCGTCTGAAACACTGGCTCGAAGTCGATAGCGTCGGCCACCACTTCCCGGTTGTCGGGCCGCACGTAATGGCACAGAACCCGAGTCGACGGCGCCATTTGATTGACAGTCGC